GGGCATTTCTCCTACCTGTGATTGCACATTGGCTCCGACTTGGGACCCTTGGTAAGAATCCCCATTCAGACTCTGCATGTTCATGAACATGTCCCCAGAATTTGGGAGGTTAAAAGAACCAGAAGAACCTGGAAAGGAAAGAGTTAAGTGGCTGAATAACAGAGAGCTACACACAACCCTCACAGACCTAGAGGCGGGAAAGGAGGACAGGCACAGGAGGGAAAGGTCTGCACAACATGAAGCATTTCCGGGCTAAGAGGATGGAGAGTAACGGCAAAGAGCTAGGTCCCGAGTCATGTTACAGCTAGGAGAGGCCTACCAATGGGGAAGCTCAATAAGAAACAAAGAGAAAATCAAAATAAACAGCAAAACACCTAGTAGTGGCCTGGCACCATCCCGTTTTATCTCCAGGATCTGGTCATTAAACATGCTCTTCACCATCATTAACTCCATGGTGGACAACTACCCAGAGAAGAAATATTTTTCTGAAGCTCGTTCTAAGCCATAATTCTACCTAACTTCCATCTGTTTTCATGTTCCATTAAAAACCCGGGGGCAGGGGGGGAGAGAGAGAAAGACCATAAAACAAACAGAAAACTCCCCCATTTCTGAATTTTTAAAGATATATATTAATAATATGAATTGCTTCTCAAGTCTATCTGTTTGGACCAGCTGCACAACTTTGTCACTCAAGTTCCCTGTAATTTTAAGATGTTCCTAATTCCATCACAAATGTCACATAAAATTTAGGTATGAGGAGCCAAGATATTGCACCCATGTATTAAGTCCCATATCCCTCACAGCTAACCACCCACCAATCCTAGCAAGCCAGCACAGGTGCTGAGGAAATGCTAAGAAGGGCAGCAGACAAGTCTGTGGCCGCATTAGGTAGAAAGCAGGACTGTACTTCACTCCAACATTCTAGCCTCATTGCACAGCAACAGATAAATGTCCCACTTCTGCTATTTCATTCTTTGACAGGCACTATTGACCTTAAAATGATATAAGAACAATACAGTTAAAGTAGTCATTAGTGGTGGCACTTGGCCTAATCTGCTGAATTAAAAACCACTACAAAGTGTGAAAGTTCCAAAACCTACCAGTAGCGAGTGAACTCACTGTAACAGTAGGTTTCTACAGCTCTGGCCATTCAGTCATTCCCCATCCCAGGAGCAAGCCTGCATTTTTACACAATTCTCCCTTTATAAAGCCACCGTGCCCTCAGTAGGGCTCTTGCTTCCTGACCTGTGGGACAGGGCTTTGTGGCCTAAGGCTGCCTGGGCTGAGCAGGGAGTGAGCGCCCAGTACGCACCAGAATTTGGCGTGGTGGGCGAATTGGTCTGGTTGTTCTGCACAGCTGCGGCCACTGCGTGTGCGGCTGTCACGGCTGTCTTTGCAGCGTAGAGGTTGGCTTCTTCCTGAAACTTGCCAATATTCTTCTTGTACCTGATTCGTTTGTTGCCAAACCAGTTGGATACCTACAAATCACAGGGTTGTGAGTGAGGAGAAGAGAGGTCAGAGGGGAGAAAAGTCAAACTTACACTAACTGTTGGACACCAAGGGGATCCCTTGGGAGACACTCAATTCTGAGCCTGAAATCACACCCTGTGGATAATGCATAATGGTTTTGGGGGTTAACTTTCTCTTTTGCAAATCTCTCAACACTCTTGGAATGATACTGCTTCTTGGAGTTAGCCACAGCAACACTAAAATGGCTGTAAGCACTGTTTGTTCATAAAAGAATACTCAATTGGTGTATACCTATTAGTATATAAGTGATCAGTCCCCCCTAAAAGTAGCTGAAAGCTAAAGGAAACATTTGTTAAGTTAGGTAAAAAATAAGAAATACTTGAGAAATAATGGCTATTCTTTCTGGGTCTGGGACAATTTTGGCAGCTATACAGTAGAATCATGTTTGGTCTGCTGAAAAGAGTAACATCAATTAGTAACGGATGAAAAATCCCTTTGTCTCCTGCCTTAGAAGATACTTCTGTCTGCCAACAGAACTGCTTGAGCTCTGCCAGTTAACACGGGGGAGGGTCACAACTTGAAAACTCAAATGACTGCAGTAAAGTCAAATGCAAATACACAGGAGTGGCTCTGATTCCATCCAGTGGACTATCCTTTTGCAAACTACTTACAATACTTCATACCAGGGCACATGGGAGAGATTTCTAAAGAGGATTTTGTCAACAAGCAGATGTCAGCACATCTCACTGACAGCAAAACTTCAGCCCAAGTTATGGCTCAGTTACAATGTGTTCAGGCTCTTATAGCTGAGCTATATAAAGAAGCTAAAACCCACACAGCAATTTATAAGAAGGTACCAACTGCTACATAAAAGGCTCTGACCTCTCTTGTTCAAGTAACAGTTAAAAAAATACTTTTCAATAATTTCTTAATATGTCAAAGGGGCATGTTGCTATGGTATCAGGCTGGTGAGTCACTGTTTTATCCTGAACAGCTATTCAGGGCCCTGAGGAAAAAGGAGTGGTATGAG